GATTATAAACTCAACTTTACTCCTGAGAAAAGTGATCTCATACCAGAGCTGCACGAGCGTGTCGCAAACAGGATGTATAATTTATTCACGTCTAATGGAGGACTTTATATCAAGATTGGGTGCGTGGTTGCTCCTTTACTTCTTAGCTGGCAAATAAAACGTTGGTTAGACAAGCAATTGGTGCCAATGCCGCGTTCCTTCCAAAACCCATGCAAGTGAAGTTTGCTAAGTTGTTTGACGATGCACCCCAAATCCCCTTTTCAATTGTCGACCAAGTCTTCCAGTCGGAACTTGGCCGTCCTCCTTGTGGTCCTGGTGGAGTGTTCGAGATATTTGAAGAGAAAGCTGTGGCCAGCGCGAGCATAGCGCAAGTACACAGGGCGAAATTATGGCCCCAGCCCGGCGACACAGAAGAGAAGTGGGTAGCAGTCAAGGTGCAAAAGCCTGACGTAGCGAAGCAGATGGAGTGGGACCTAGGTGCCTACCGGGCCGTGATGTGGATGTTTGAAAATTGGGCATTTGATCTGCCGGTGTATTTTATCGTTGGTAAGTATCACCCTTCGTCATGAGTGCGCGTCTGGGCTCATTTGAGACCAGACTTCATATCCGATCACCTGCGTCAAGAGCTCGACTTTGTGAACGAAGCTCATAACGCTCGGAAGACCGCCGATTTCGTTGCCAACGAGCCACGACTTGCCGACAGCGTCTACATTCCGAAAGTGTACCCCGAATTCTCGACCAAGAAAGTGATGACCGCCGAATGGATTGAAGGCGTACGACTCAGCGATCGCCCTGCGATTTGTTCTCTCATGGGTGAATCCAACCCACTTGATCCGCCGTCTGCGCTTCCATCTTCCATGCCAACCAAACCATTGAAAGGTGGAGTCAAGACTATCATGCAGGTGATGGTTGAACTATTTAGTGCGCAGATGTTCAACTGGGGGTGGGTCCACTGTGATCCTCATCCTGGAAATGTGATCATCCGTCCTCATCCATCAAAGCCGACCCGACCTCAACTCGTTTTGATTGACCATGGCCTGTACGTTTCCGTCGAAGAAAATTTCAAGCGTCAATGGGTAGAGCTCTGGAAAGGAATGCTCGCCGGAGATTTCGACTCTGTTGAGAAAGTGACAAAGCAGTGGGGTATGGGCTTGCCGGATTTGGTTGCCAGCGCCACTTTGATGAAACCGACGAGGCTAAGAAGACCGGACGTTAAGAAGGGGGAGACGAAGGAGGAGAGTAGAAAGCGACGGGAACGGGAGGCTGCGTTTCAGGAGAAGGTGAAAAACATGTCTCAGTATGAACTGAGCGTGTTGATGAAGAAGAGGTTGAAAGAATTCTTGACTGACACCGATAGGATGCCGAAGGCACTCATATTCTTGTCACGAAACATGCGGTATGTTTGAGATAGTTCGTCATACAACAAGCAATCGTCTGATTTCTTTCTTTCAAAGTATGGTTCAAGGTTTGTGCCGAAAAGGCTCGTATAGCGTCTGCTAATACATTTTCGCGTAGGGAATAACCAATCTCTCGGATCTCCAGTAAACCGCATTAAGATCACCGGTTTCTGGGCTTCAAGGTCTCTAACTCAAGCCCCCAACCTGTCTTTCACTCAACGATTGCGGGAGTGGTGGCATTACCTGATATTCCGGAGCGTCATGTTCTCTCTTGACCTGGCTTTCTGGCATAACAAAATCTCTCTATGGGTACGGCGGCATTTCGGTCTGCGTCCTGGTGAGGGTTTCGAGGATGAGATGGAGAGGACGATGCGGGGCATAGCCAAGTCGAATCTAGGCGTCGATGTTTCACCATCGGCTTTTGAGGGCTGATAATAGACATCATTGCTGGCTAATGATGGGAGGCTGTGATATCTGTCAAGAAGGAACATAAAGAAAACTTTACACGAAAATAGGTGTAAGGCAAAACATGATAGACGCTTCACCGTGGGTGGTTATGCTAGACGGCGGGACCAGTGTTACAGGGATGTTATCATTCCATAATCCTGTCTATATCGGCTCCAATAGGTGAACAAACGACAAGAAGAGAGATAGTAATCACAATAAATATAAGGATGAAGAACAGGTGTGATGCGTATAGGAAGTACTAGGCCACAAATCTTCAGAGCTCCTCGCAACGACTAGTTGACAGTCGACGGTTGTGCGGAATATTAATACCTACCGTAATGGACGGCTGTTGCTGTACATTATTGTAGTACGTATGTGATTGCCCAGTACATGATGCAGCAATCGGCAGTTGCATATCAACGTAACACCTCGCAACATCAGCTATTCCTATTCACAACTGTTATATAATTTAGAATTGTTGCTAATGGGCTCGTCGCTGACCGTGGAAATGAGCGCGGTACTCGGATCCAATGTCGGGGATCGAACGATATCGAATCCTGAGGCTTGAGATCTGAGATTTCGATCTTCTTAATCATCTTACTGCAATGTAACAGAGTGGCAGTATCTCGACAACTCGTCTCAAGTATCAGGACTGCTCACCTCAAAATTTTTTTTTTCTGTCGTAACGTTGATCTTGGTACCTCTTGTTGTCTTCCCTGACTTCGAGCGGCAAGCGGCTTTTTGGAGCCCCTCAACTCAGTTGACAATGCAGACGAAAGAGCGGCCGCGCGTTGTCCTGGCCGCTTGACAGCACATTGAAGATGAGAGTGGACGAGGGCGTCGATGAAGTTCCGCTTCTACACACGATTATTATTAAGTGAGCTCGATCAGATGGTATGTTCCTGACGTTTCGTGTTTATAGCGCGTCTAGGCAGTGTTGGTACCCTTGATACAAAAATTGTCCTACATAAAGCTCCAGCTTCCATTTCCATAAAATGACACAATTCGAGTCTTCCCATCGCCATGTCTCTTGACTCTACTTTAGGCGCTATCCTCATAGGCAGTACGTGGAACAGCATGTGAGTTCACGAACCGAGATCTTTCACATCGCCAAGGGCAGAGCACTTACTGCCCTACAGACTTTATGGCATCTCCTGCATCCAAGCCTTCATATATTACAAGCGATCCGGGAACGATCATCAATGTTTTAGAATGCTCGTGAGCTGTCATATGCTCCTTAATGTAACTGATTATTTAGTTCTATAACAGATTTTCTCCCTCTGGTACTCTCTTCTCTCTACATTTTGAAACTAATTCACCTTGCATATATCAAGGTTTCTTGATACAGTGCAAACAGCTACTGTGATACACGCAGTATACTGGTACCTCATTTCACATTTTGGGGACATGTCAACAGCAGTATCTATTATATGGTAGGTTCCTTAATCAAGCGCTTCTATGCAAAGCTTACTGACATGTTCATAATGTGCTAAGGAATATACTGGTATGTACTCATTGCATTTAACGCTGAAATTTTTCGTTTACGGGTATTCAAGGTGCAGCTTTGCATCGTGGTAGGATTGTCTTATCATATTTTCCTCGACTGACCCAGACTGAACTTCTGAACATAGGTCAACAACGATACAATTGTTAGACTGTATGCGCTCTTCCATGCTTAATAGTTTTCGACGGTTTTTATCTCGTCATCCAGCATCTTCGCTAGACGGGCGTGGCTACGTAAGTCAAGAATTCATATTATAAGGGTGTCACCTTTGAATGCTCGTTTAGTCACCGGCCGAAATGTGATCCTCACGACCTGTATTGTGAGTTATTTCGAGAGATCGTCATTTTCCATACCTGAAGGGTGATATACCTTACAGATAGCATGTTCTTTGGCGACATTTGGTATGCCTAAGAAGTCTATTTAACGACATCGTGCTGACAATTCTCCTAGTCTCAGTCTTCAGTAAGCCTTAGTAATATTGTTCGCTCGTTGGAGCGCGAATTCATCTAAATGTCTAGTCTTCGCAGTCAAAGCGTTTGTAGTCTTAACCCTCATATCGACAGCCTACTGAAGGTGTCTAAGTTTCAATGTCAAGACTTACAGTGATGCGTTGCAATTCTACGTCAGTCAGATCTTTCATTCTAATCCAAAGTTATTCAAATGATGTACTTTCTGCAGTACTTTATGTACACCGCCTTTGGAACAGGAGCTGCAGCTGATATCCTCATCACTTTGACACTCTGCATCAGCTTCTACAGGGGCCGAACAGGACATCAAAGGTAGGCGTCATGTGGTCCTAGCAGAGTGCTTCAATGTGATAGCAGATCCGATTCATTACTCGGTAAACTCACATCCTACACGGTCACCAGCAGTGAGTCAAATCTATTCATCACAGTAATATAACCGTTCATCCCATGGATCTAGGTGGAATCACAACGTGATTTATGTTTGTATTGTGACTCATAGCAATCATTGACAACTCTCGAATTTAGTGTAACTTCAGCTGTGATCCTATTGACTGGTGTTATCTGGCCGCACCGGCTGATTAGTTTGGGGCTCTATTTCTCTCTCAGCAAATGTAAGGCGTTGGGGCGTATGATCCGTCAATTTGAGGCCTAACAGAATAACGTGTAGTACATCTTAACACGCTGCTTGCAACACTCAATGCGAGGTCCGTTCTAGCGAGGAAACATATCCCAGTTCCCTTGTCATCTACGCAATCAAGTCGAGATAATTCTTCAAGGCATGTCACCCACGTAGCATCTCAAACGTCCGACCCTGACATTAATCTGATAGTGTTGAAAATCTCAAAGATTTGCATTAGAAGGGGCTTTCATTGACTAGACGAAAGACATGTAACGTCAGACTCTTTTCAACGCACTTGTAGATTAATGAAGCGACCCTCGACCCTCGTCGACATCATTCAATAATCAGTATTCAAACATAGTATGTCGCTCCGGATCCGTACGTGCGAAGACCACAAGACCCGTCATGAACTCTGTCTCCAAGCTAGCGTGACAAAAACTTTGTCAAGGATAGCCTTGTCGAGTTAATAAGAACCGGTCATCCAAAGATAAGGATAGATTTTGAAATTATATATTATATCGTTATATATATGACAGGGGACGCTCGCAAAAATATATGCAAAATATTACACCAAAGGGGAGTCGAACCCCTGCCGCTTGCTACCAGAAAGTGGAAGGCAAGCATGATAACCGCTTCACCATTGGTGTTACAGTTATCTTGTAAGCCAGGCATTCATGTCTCGATTTGTGAGTCCTCTCCGCGGGTATATAAAGAAGTAAAAGAGAGAAAGAAAAGGAAGGAAATTTCCAAGAATTTCCCTGGCTTACCATAGGCCATCCTATCATTGACTAACGCTGACTTTCCATGTCTGGGAAAACCTAGTTGTTGAACCTGTCTTTAAGCTCTACTGAGACTTGTGTTCCAATTCTGAATTTGGGTAGCAAGTGAAAATGAGATGGCATATATTAGGGAGAATACTAGAGAGATAGAGCAGAGAGAATACAGAACAAAGCACCATAAGAGATGCATCAACAAGGTGTTGTGGGTGATGAGAGAGGTGACAGAATAATACATGGGGTGGGTCAGATAGCCAAATCTTCAATTCTCTGCTCATCTAGGTGATTTTTATTCAATAAAAAAGACAACACTCATGAAGCATACCTTCATCCTCTGAACACCACAAGTCTGACCACAGAATGATTGGATAGAGAGAAAGATTGAGACAAGAGCAGTAACAAATTTTAATTTGAGACAGTGATGAGAGTTGCAGAGTGCAAGAGAAAAGGCTCAATAAATTCAGCTGAGTGTTTACGGGAGGAAATGATATTTCTTGAGTCTGAAAGTTCTCAGGCTGGCCTGCCCACCAATGGAAGGAAGGGGCCGAATTCAAGCTATAGAGCTTGTCCATTCAGCTGCTCAAAGAGTGGTGCATTGCCACCTCGTGGAAGCTCAGTGAAGAGTTCTTTGAGGGCTGTGATGGGGCAGGTGGCTTGTTCTGGTGCTATGGCAATGGTAATGGTGACTCCTTTGCAGAAGAGGTCTGTCTTGGAGGCAAGAAGCATGAGGAGTGCATGGGTGGCGTTTTTGAGGTTGGGAGCGAAACAAATGGAGTCACAAGACAAGTTGAGAGATGGTGAGAATTTCCTGCCTTTGCCAATAGTGAACTCTCTGCTTCAGAGGAGTGCAGAGTATGCAAGGCAGCATGCTGCATATATTGTGGTGTGTCCTGCAACTGTGCCTAGTTTAAGCTGTGCGAGGAGGTCTGTGAGAATGGGAAGAGTAATGGGCTGGACTAGCCTCCTGTTCTATTTGCCGTGGTACCATTTGATGCCTCATATGATGTGCTGGATGAGGGGAGATTTGGTGGTGTAGAATGGGAGGCCAGCATCAACATGGAGAGAGCAAACTGCAGAGAGATATGCTTTGATGGTTTTGGATTAGACTCAGCTGGCAAGGTAGGCAACCCACAAGAGTATTGCTGGCTCTGATGTAGGGAGGATGGATCTGTCAGCATTGTACAAGCTGTTGAGTTGGACATGGAGAATAAATTGCCATTGGCCTATGGAATACATCTGTCAGGTTGAGGCAGCGAGCCTGTGCCATAAATAGAATGTGATGGTTTTGAGATGGTGTCGATTCTGTTTGAACCACCAATGCAGAGGTGCTTCGAGCTGGGCACCTGATTGAGCCATGGTGCGATTTTGAACATGTGAGAGAAGGAAAAACGAGACATGGCATCAGCAACTGAATTAGCAGTAGAGGAAAGCCACTCAGAAGAAAAGGAAAAGTCTAGATGGCATGCAAAAATGACCAACTCTTGCACAAACTTCATAGTGAGTGGGGATCTGATTGATAAGTTGCATATAGCATTGAAAACGGCCTTGTTATCGACATGGAAGGTGATGTGGCATCCTCTGAGTGATTCTCTCCAGCAGAGAACTGTGTATACTATAGTGAACATCTCCTTGACTTATATATGCTCTGAGCAGAGATTCCATAAGCAGCATGCTGAGAACCACTCTGATTCAAAGTGACCTTCTAGACCTTTGGAACCACTCGCATTGGTGAAGATATTGACCCAGCATCTGGATGGACTGATCAGTCATATGCCATTCCATCTGGGAGCAACGGTGTGCCATCACACTATGTCTTTGCAGGCCTGTTTGGGGATGTGGCATCAACTAAAGGAGGATGGGAGGAAGGTGCCAGCAAAGTTGTGAAGATTGCAGATGAAGGCACATGAGAGTGAGATGACTTGCAAAGTGAACTGCAAGAAGCCTGTAAGTTTTTCCAGTTTGCAAAGAGTACATGACTGACGAGATATTCAGTCAGAAGTAAGTTGCCACAGCTGATCAAGCTTTGCAGGAGGTAAGCAGACTTCTATCATGATGGAATCGAGCTCTAAACCCAAGAAGTTGATGCACCTCATAGGCTCTACCACTTTGGATGGTTGAAAATTGAGTCTGAGCTATGCACCAAGTGTCATGGCCCATTTGAGCAAGTCATCAACTAGTTTGTGTAAGGACGTGGGGGGGAAAATGCTGAGGAAGTCATCAAGAAAGTGCTGTATGCATGCAGGGATGTTGTGCTGGAGTATCCAGTGCAATGCCTCTGTGAAAAGGTTAAAAATGTATGGAGCTGACTTGCCACTGAATGCAAGGATGATGTCATAGTAGAACTGTCCAAGCCACTCAAAGCCAAGGAGCAGCCAGTCTTTTTGGTGGACTGAGATGTGTTGAAACACTGTCTCAAGGTCAAGTTTCAGCATTTGCAAGCCGGGCCCAGAGACTGCGAGGTCATGAATGGCTTGGCCAACCATGTCATATGTGATGGTAGCCTTTGAGTTAGCAAGTCATTCACAGACGTGCCATTGGGCCAAGAAAGATGATGTATTTGCCAGACTTTGGTGGAGCGTTTGCATGTCACTGCCCCAATGGGCAAAGCATAAAACCCAGAAAACAGGGGTGAGGCAAAGGAACCATGCATGTGCCCATTGGTGACTTGTGAGGCAATGTCTGCAGACAGAGTGGAGATGATAAAGGGGTCAGAAAGAGCAGACTTTAAGTTGATGCAGCATTGTAATATGGTTCTATCACCAGTGAAGCCAATATTGGTGCTGGATTGTATTATTTGGAGTAACAATAATACAAGGTTAGGATCTGGGTACTCTTGTAAGTAAAACTGCCATGCTTCCTCATTGAGTGATGAAGAGACCCTTGGCAGATGCTCAGTGCCAGCAAGGGTTGCATTTGCACATGGGTCTGTGTTGGGGCAAGGTGGGAGTATGAGTAAGAATGTGTCGAGGGGGTCCAAAGCAAAAAAACCAGTAGACAAGTAAGACAAGTGAGTGCCAAGCAGACAATGGCTCTGGAGGGACTGTGGGACAATGGTGCATTCTCCTAAGCCAGGAGTCTAGTCCTTGTGCTGATGCTTGCCATGCTCTGGCTTTCTGCAGATCATGCAGATGTGCAGGCAGCCCCATAAACACAGGCTGGCTGTGCACTTCCCTTCATTAAACTTCCAGCAGACCTCCCCAGAGTTGTACTGGCTTTTGCTCGACAAAGAGCCTTTTGCCTGCTTTGCAGGTGCTGCCTTCCAATGCCCATAAACATGCTCAGATAGCAGATTGTTGTCGTGCCATCCCCACTGTGAATAATCACCTGCAGTCATCTCCGCCCATCTGCAGTTGAAGAAAATAGAGTGGTAGTCAAAGACTGCTGTTCACCCATACTCTACAACCAGCTTCAAAAGGTGGGCTGTGTATCTGAAGAAGGCTCCTGTTGCTACAAGGCTGAAGATATGGAATGCGAGGATGTCAAAGTAAGTTAGGAGGAGTATGAGCACTGCAAAGGGTGTCTTGTATTCCTTCGCTATCTGGTGGCTCACCTCAAATTGGTTGGTGGAGCTGTTGAATGTGTATGCCATCTCTTTATTGCAGTTTGTAGGGTCAAGCTTGTGCAGATCCACCACCTTGAAGTCGTGTGCAATGATGGCTGTGATCACACCTGTGTCAACATCAGGGAATTGTGTGCGAAGGGAGAGGGGAACAGTGGTTGGGAACATACCATTAATTTCAGCTTCTGAAATGGGGGGCACAAAGGTGTTTGCAGGCTGTGCTGGGGTGGCGGGTGCACCTGGGGCTGGTGGAGCAGCTGGGTTTGTTAGGGAATCAAACCTTGTGAGAACATTTCTCATCAAAGTATTGAGTTCTGCATGAGACTCTCAGAGCGAGTTGAATTCTTCTGCCGAGATGCTTTTGCCGGGCACTGACATGCTGGGAGGGGCAGGGGAAGCTCTGATGAAACGTCCATTGGAATCTCTGTAGAGTGTTTGAGATGTATTTCTCATGCACTGATAGAGTGCGTTGTGTGGTGCAGATTTTAGACATGTGACGTAGTGCAATCAATGTGGCAAGCGCAGTGTGAGACAACGCATGGAATACTATGTGAAGTAACATACCTGCGAGCGCAGTGTGAGATGACAAGGTTGTCGCCCGCTGCACTCACCATAATAAATCAATCGTGAACAATGGATGAAGAGATGAAAGAGATAAAGAGATTGTGACAATGTGAAGGGTGAAAGGAACAGTGGCGGTAATCTAATCGTCGTCCGAATTAACCCTGGGCAACTCCCTCCTACTACTTGCCCAATCCAACTTTTTCGGCATTTGCCAGACAGATAACGGCAGATCTAGGATAACTACCATTCTAGCTAGAGCCCTCTCGATTGGAAACCAGAAGTCTGCAATAGATCACCTTAAACCTTACGACCCCTTTGTAATCTGCTCCCCTCTTCTTCGGCCATTGACTCTCTGTGTCAGCCTCTATAGTTCTAAGTCATCAGCTTGATATTACCTCACGGACGATCTGTCAGTCCACTCAAGTTCCGTGGTGGATTCAATCTGTCTCAGCCATCCCTTCGCGATATTCATCAGCTTCTGAGTAATTTTTCTGTTGATTGATATTCTCTAACCATCTCCTCTCACCTTGAATACTGATCATCTCGGAGTATCGTGAAGTTTCGAAGCTCCTCAGCCTAGCTCACAATGTATATGGCGTCGTGGCCATTCTGGCCATTCGACGCGACATCGAAGACCAGACGTCGACAAAGAGGTTCGTCGGCAGAGCTCAATTTCGCTCCACTATGTACGATTCTACGGCTAGAATCAGATGATGTGTTCTAATGCCATGCTTACATCAAAGTTGAG